CCGGAGGGACCACGTCGCCCAGCCGAGGACCGGCGTCGTACGACATCTGCTGGTTGATGGAGTTGGGCACGACGCCGGCAGTCATCGGGAACTCGACGGGGGCGGTGTTGACGACGCGGACGACGTTGCCCGAGCCGGGCGTCTCGAGGATGCAGAAGAAGGGCCGGTCGAGGCCGTCCTCCGTGTACAGCTCGATCACCTGCTTGTTGTTGTTGGGGCCCTGCAGCAGCTCGATCCGCGCGTTGAGCGGCCGCCCGTCCGTCTTGAGCAGGACCTGGACGCTGTCGACCGAGGGGTCGAAGGGGTAGGTGCGGAGGGCGCCGCCCTGGATGGTCATGCGCGTGTCGAGGCATTCGGCCGACGGGCTGTCGACGTTGTCCGCCACCACGTTTGCGGCGAGGGGGAACTCGATCTGGCCGATGTTGCGGATGGCGACTGTGTTTGGGCCGCGGGGCGTCTCGACGACGGCGCTGAAGGGGCGGAGCTGGCCGTTCTCGACGTACACGCGCATCTTGCACGGCGTGTTGTCCGGCCCCTGCCACAGCTCGATGTCCGCGTCGAGTGGGCGGCCCTCAGTGCTGAGGACCACTTGGACCTGCTCAACCGACGGCGAGCGGTACGACCAGGTGCGGAGCGAGCCGCCCTGGACCAGGATGGAGGAGTCGACCAGCGGGGGGCCGCCGTCCGCCCGCGCCATGTCGACCCCGGGCGCGGCCTGCATGCCCGTGGCCGGAGGCATCATCTGCATCTGGACGGCTGGTGCGCGCGCGGCGGGCACGGTACCGACCATCAGGCCGGAGGCGACGCCGGCGCCGGCGAGCATCATCGAGATACGCGGCCTGCGCGGGCGTGGGTGGGGCGCCGGGCCGGGGTAAGGGGCCAGGCCCGCGGCGTGCCACGGGGAGCGGCGCGGGCGGGCAGGGCTACATTTTTGCTCGACAGACTTCGACGTTCGATGTCATCAGCCAGAGATTGCATCTCCCAGCTTCGTTGCGCCCTCGCACTGCTGTGAAGTCCAGATGCTGCGCGACTTCAAGTTTCTTGTGGAGAGGAGGGCGCCTGGGTCTAAATTTAGTGCGTGTGAATGAACTTTAGTGATAGTTTAGTGCGCTATTTAGTGCGTGTTCGAGTGCGTATATAGTGCGACTTTAACGCAAATTTAGTGCAAATTTAGTGCAAATTTAGTGCAAATTTAGCACATATTTAGTGTGTTTTATCTCCAATTTAGCGCCACATTTAGTTCACTTTAGGTGCGGGCAGCTGCAGTACATTTAGTGTGGGTCCCGCATCTTTAGTGCGGGCACGCACCTTTAGCACGGCTTCCCGGCCACACCACAGCTAGCCAGGGCCGCGTGCTTTGCTCCTTGGCTGCCAAGAATGCACCACAGGAGATGCCTGGCCCCTGCCCTCATGACCCAAAGGCAGGCTCCCAGTGAGGCTAGATATGCCGCCCTCCAGAGCAAGATCTCCCGACTGAGCACAGGCACAGCACCGATTCCCGAGAGGAGGACCAGCACAGTTGAATGCGCCACGCTTCCCGGCAATCGTTTTGCCGCTCGGCGGGCCCGGAGAAGCAGCCCGGAAAGCACCTTTTAGGCTGATATCAGCAGGTTTACTTCGCTCGGTTGGGGATGGGACGGGGAACTTTTGCGAGTGGGCAGGGAACTGCAGGGGGAGAGGGGGAGGGAGGCCCAGGGAGGGGCTGCGGCTGGATCCTACTGCGCGGCTGGACTAAAGACGCACTAAACCTCGCTAAATCTGGATGTAAAGTCGACTAAATTTGCGCTAAATTTGCGCTAAATTTGCACTAAAGTTGCACTAAATTCGCACTAAATTCGCGCTAAAGTGCACTAAAGATGCAGTACATAAACACTTCACACCGCACTAAATTTAGACCCAGGCGCCCTCCTGGAGAGAGTCCATGCAAGCGCGAGACTCCGACACCTCCGAGTCGGACCCTGCGCCCGAAAGAGCTGTCTCAGCTGCAGCAGACGCGGTCCCCGTGCTGCGCCCCACCAAGGAGGAGTGGTACGGAGGCTTTGGCGCCTACCTCGCCGCTATTCGGCCGCTCCTTGACCAGCACGGAGCCGTGCAGCTCGTCCCTCCGCCAGAGTGGCGCTGGGAGCCGCGTGCCCTCGCCGCCGACGCGGAGGTGCGACACTAGCGGCCCTCGCACACCGGCTGTCCCACACGAAGTTTCACAACTGGCCATAATCACAAGACCCACACAGTGTTGGCTCTCCGTCTCCCTGCCAGGTCCGGCCGATCCGACAGAACTGCTTTGGCCGCGGCGGCGTCTTCCAAGCAGTGTACGAGCAGTCGCAAGCGTGCTCCCCACCACAGTACGCAAAGCTCTGTGCCGCCATGGGGAGAGCCCCGGCCCCTGTCCAGCTCACCTTTGGCGGCGATGAGGCTCCGGCAGAGGCGTGGGCCGAGCGCGTCGGCGACGCGGCGTGCCAGGCGGCGGAGGCGGCCTTCTGGCGCGGCGTCGCGGGTTGCGCGCCGCTGTACGGCGCGGACTCAGACATCGGCTCGCTCTTCCCGGCGCCGCCCCGAACTCCGGCTCTTCCCGCCCCCCCGCCGCACCCAGACGCCGCTCAGAGAGGCGCATTTGCCGGGCGCAGGCGGCGCTCGAGCACTGGAACCTCTCCGCGCTGCCCCGCGGGCCGGAGGACGACCTGCTGCAGGAGGCGGCCGTGCGCATGCCCGGCCTCAACAGCCCGATGGTCTACCTCGGCGCGTGGCGATCCTTCTTCGCGCTCCACACCGAGGACGCCGAGCTGCAGGGCCTCTCCTACCTCCACTCGGGCGCACCGCCTCCCCCCGCCCGCTCGAGCGCCACTCCTCCTCCCACCCCCCTCGCCGCCACCCACACACGCCGCCACAACCCGCCACCGCCTGCCACGCCGCCACCCGCCACCAGCACCGCCGCCAGCGCTGCCGCCACCTCCCCCGCCACGCCAGCGACCTCCACCCCTCGCGCCACGCTCACCCGCGACGCTGCCACGCCCAGGCGCGCCCAAGCAGTGGTACATCGTGCCGCCGGCGCACGCGGCGCGCGTGCGTCGCCTCGCCGCCGACGTGTGCGCCTCCGAGGCGGCGGAGTGCTCCCACTTCCTCAGGCACAAGCAGACGCTGCTCGCGCCGTCCGTGTACCGCGCGTCCAACGTCCCTCTGCGGCGCGCGCTGCAGACGGAGGGCACGTTTGTGGTCGTGCAGGCCCTCCCTCGATCGCACCGGAGCCGGAGAGCGGGCTGCCATGCTCGGCGACGGCACCGCCCCGCTCCCCCCCCCCCTCCGCCCGCCCCGGCAGGCGGGCGCCTTCCACTTTGGCTTCAACCACGGGCCAAACGTCGCCGAGGCGATCAACTTCGCCACGGCGGCCGCGTGGCTGCCCATCGGCCGCACCGCCGCGCCGTGCAGCTGCCGCGGCCAGACGCCCTTCGTCGAGTCGTCCTCTCTCTTCCAGCGCGCAAGGGCGGCGTGGCCCGAGAGGACGGCCGAGTGGTGGTGCTTTGTCTGCGCGTGCGGCGAGAGCGAGGGCGTCACCAACTTCGACGCGGCCAACTCGCACCCGACCGGCGAGCAGTTCGAGTGCGTGGTCTGCGGCCTGTGGGGCCACGTCGGCTGCTACGACGGCTACGCGGAGCGGATCGCGCAGAGCGGCGCGGAGGCGGAGCTCCACTGCGTCGCTTGCCGCGACGCGTGGCGCGGCGGCGACGGGCGCGGAGAGGCGCCGCGCCTCGCGCCCGTGCCACCACGAGGGAAGGAGTGTGTCTTCACGCCTCGGAGGTGCGAGCAGGCGTGGCGATTCACTTGCGTCTGCGGCAAGTCAGAGGGCGCGTCGGACGCGACGGTGGCGGCGGGCGGCGCCGCACCGACCGGCCGGATGTTTGAGTGCGCTGGCTGCGGCGCGTGGTCGCACACGGAGTGCTACGACACGTACCGCGGCGTTGACGACGAGGAGCTTCCCTCGCGCATGCAGTGCTGGCGGTGCGCCAGGCGGGGAGCGGCTCATGGCAAGGCAAAGGGCGCCACGCGGGGAGCCACTCCCGGCAGGCCGCAGGGCAGCGCAAATGGCAGGCCAAAGAGCGCGGCTCCAGCCAGACCAAAGGCCACGCCCCGGTCGGTGGACGTCGGAACGGGCGGTGGGGCTCTCCTCTCTCACGGGGCTGCCCATTTCCCTAGGTCTCTGCCGCTTCCGAGGCGGCGAGCAAGCCGAAGGCGGCGGTCGTTTCCCCGCGCGCTGCTGCAAAGCGCAGGCGCCCACGCTGCGGTCTCGCGGCGGAGTGACGGTCGGCGTGACGCGCGGTCGTCTGCGGCCGTTTAAAGGCAGCGGACGACGACGAAGTGCCACCGACAACGTGATATAGGCCTCGTCGCAACCCGACGCAAAAGGAATACCATTCAGCCTGGGAGGGTTTGCTAAACTGTAAATAAAAAACAATAATTGATAAACAAAAAAATAATTGAAACGTACGCGGTACAGTACGGGGTGTGGAGGGTGAGTTGAACAAGGGGTTGTGCGCCGGGCCCTCCTGCTCGGCTCCAGCCCCTGTTGATAGGTCCAGGTGATAGTCCTGGATGGGCAATGCATACGCCTCACTGGGCCTTAGATCGCCCGACCGCGTCCCGGTGCTCTGCCGTCGGATTTGTGACTCCGCCGCACCGCGCCGCGGCCGGGGGCCCTCCGGAGGCCGAGGATGGCCGTGACGGACCGGGACGAGCTCTGGGAGGTTCAGTGTCAGTGTATATATTGTAGAGACCAACCATGTCCACAATATCTCTCAGTCTAGCTAAGCCTGGGAAGGCGATGCTGGGGCCGTACAGCAGCTTGATGCATGCCACCGAAGCGGCGCTGTCGAGGTTCGCCGAGCGCGGCGAAATCCGGGGACACCGTCACCGACGAGCGCGTTGGAGTATTCACTCCGGACAAAGACGGCTACACGCACACGAGCCGCGGTCGTGTAGCCGTCTTGGCGGCGAGGCGCGGGACCGTCTGTGGCGAAGTGGGTCGCGTCCCCGGATTTCGTTCAACCCACCCTCCACACCTCTAACGGTACGCCGGACCGTAACGCCTCGGACCGTCCACGGAGGTACGGCGCTACGTACGGCTCTATATAATGTGGGGACCCAGGCCAACAGCAAGTGGGACATAGTCTGAGGGTATCCTAAAAGTTCGGCCGATTTGGGTCAAAACGCTAAAAGTTTTAGGAAAAAAGAAAAGGTAAAAGCACTGCTAGCAGTTGATTTGGGGCAAAACGACAAAAGTGGGCCCGCCCGGGGCAAAATGGTAAAAGTCGACTGTGCTTTCGTGCAGCCGGGTTGACGCGGGGCCTCGGATTTAGCCAAAGTGACCCATCGCGCAGCACATGACGACCGCTCACCGCTTGTGCAAGCGTGATCACTCGCTGCTGCACTGGCTGCTGCTGCACCTGACCCAGCGCGTGTGAAGGCACTTGCCGAGGCTGCGGCCGAAGCGGTGTAGGCAGACAACGATGCGGCGTGACGGGCGCGCGCGCGCGCGGGCGGAGTGGCGGACGCGAGGACGCTGCCGTCAGACGAGGGGTTGCTATCATACGCAAGCACGAGCGGTCGGTGACTCGACGGCGTGTACATCACCGTTGCCCAGGCGCGAAAGTGTGTTGTGGGAGGATGCGTCCTTATGTGTTACAAACTTGTAGCGCTACATGTTTGGACACACACCGGCGGGCGCTTTCGAGGCGAGCGGCAGCATTTTTCTTGCCATAGTGGAACTACTTGTCGTTTGCGGGACGTCGGACGATAGCTAGCACTTACTGCACCCGGCGCGCAGCGCGAAGAAAGAAAATTTTGAAAAATGCTAAGAGTCCTCCTACGGGAATGTACGTAAGAGCTACACACACTGAAAAGTTGGGCGGCCTCCGAGACGACCAAAGTGGTAAAAGTCGCACTCTCACCTGACCCGATCAAAAGCGTAAAAGCACCCCCGACGGGCGAGGCTCCAGAAACCTAACCCTCAGACTATTGAAGTGGGACGAACGAGGGCCGCGACGGCGGCTCAAGCGGGAGGGAGCGGAGACGGTGGGGGTGGCCAGCGAGCGAAGTGGGAGAGACTGATGATGCTCCTTCGACTTAGGGAGCGGTTCAGCTGCTGGGCGGGCTTCAGGGTGGTGCTCACGCGAGAAAAGGAATCGACGCGAACGCGCACCCCCCAGGGCTAGGGCTCTCTTGCCCGCAGCCCGATCCCGATCATCTGGCCCGCTGGGTGTGCTTCTTAGCCCCCTGGCCCTGGATGAGATGATGTGAGGCTGATGACTGCACTCCAAGTGCTCCAAGACGCGATGTGCAAAGCATACAAGAAGAGGAGAAAGAAGAGGAGAGACACCGGTGATGACGAAACAGAAGCTAGCGCAGACGAGAGCAGGGCAGACCCGGGGACGGGGGAGTCGGAGCAGACGGCATCGGCCGCCGAGGGAACGTTGGGAAGAGGCACGAGGAGGGCGGCGACCTCAACCGACTATGGAGGACCCGTCACCAGACGACGCAGAGGGCAGACGACGGGGGGGAGCTGGAGCAGACGCGCAGGGCGAGACGAGGGAGGGAGCAGGACTTTGCGGAGATCAGCAGGAGGATGTACGAAGAGATTAGGAGCAGCAGGGACCCGAGGGACCATGTGGAAGACGGCTAGTGCTAGTCCCCCATCGTGAGGACGACCCCGGCTTCCTAGTCGCCGACCACACCCACAAAGAACCCTGCACAAAGATCGCACGGGCGGGGACCTGTTCCTTTTTACCCATCTCAAAGCAGAGGTGCCCGTTTTTATTTATGTATTTGGACTGCTCCGGAGACAACCTCACTAAGACAATGAGCGATGGGTAAAACAAACGTAGAGCCGAGGCTCCATCGACCACTACGCTACTATCTTAGCACTGACTGGGGGGGCCTCTTGGCACTTTGGATGTCGTGGGGCTCCTGCCCGTGTCCGGCGTGGAGATGCGCGAGGGTCTGGTGCTCCACGCACCGTCGGGTGCGTGGGTGGTAAGGAGGAGCCGCGCGGCGCGCGCGGCCTTGGTGACTGACAAAAGTTGATCAGGAATAGACTACAACACTTCGGCGACCGTCGGCGCGCCGATACGGCGATACGCCCGAAATAGCGATGCAATCGCAATAGCTCCCAAATAGCAAAGTATAGCCGCGCGCCGCGTAATCACGTAAAAGCAATCGGGGCGTCACACTAGGGTCGCCCCCCCCCTTGCCCCACCAACCTTTTGTGTGTGCACGGTGGACAGACTTTACCTTACCTTTTACCTTACACTACCCCCCTTACCCCACTACTTTGTACTCTTAGGCGTCGACCGCGTCGTATCCCCCTTGACCCTCCCTGTGAGCCTGTGTGGCGATGCGATTCAGCGAATGCGCTGGGGAACAACCCGAAAAAGAGAGGGAGGCATGTCTCTGATGAAGCATTGAAGGGCGCCCCGCGCTTGGACTGGTGACCACTGAGCCAGACTAAGCACGACGCGCGCTCTCTCTCAATGACGTAACCTCTCTCTCGTCTCTCCCCTCGCTGCTCTCTCTCTTCCTCGCTTCTCGCGCTCATGTTCCAAAAGTCATGCAAGTTCACACCGCCAGGCGCTCACTAAACGTACGGCGCTTGCGCACGGCGCCCATCGCCTGGGCGACGAGCGCGATGCTGACGGGCCGCAGCGGCGGCGGCAGCAGCGTGATCGCGCGAGGGCGGTAGAGCCCGAGGTCGACGAGGGTGGAGGGCGTGGTGCCAAAAAAGTGGACAAACTCGCAGCCGTCGAGGTCGGGGTCAGTCTCGTGCATCGTGACAATGTGAACGCCGAGCTCCAGCGCGAGCTTCACCTCCGCCGCCAGCGCGCGGCCGGGCAGGCCCTGCCACGTGTCATGGTTGAGGTAGAGCAGAAAGACCTGCCGCCGATCCTCGAGCTCGTCGTCAGCCACAAAGGGCTCGACCCGCAGCAGCTCGTCCTGCGGCGGCTGCGGCAGTCGCAACTGGAACTCACCCGAGGCGGACCAGCTGTCCTCCTCGGGCCGCTTTCGATGCCTCCAGGCCGGGTACCTCCGGCCGGAGAAGCGGCGCCGTCCCACCCGCGGCGCGCGGGCGGGCGCGCCCTGCCGGAAGGCGAGCTCGGCCGGCCTGAAGGCGCGCTCGAGCTCGTCGGCGATCTGCTGGCAGCCGGGGTTGTTGCTCGAGGCATAGGTCGCCACTGGCTGGCGGAAGTGCAAGTCAGTGGGCGTGATGTCCGCCTTCATGTACACGTCCTCGATGCGCCGGTCGAGGTACATCGGCGTCAGCGCGAGCACCTGTTCACGGGGCAGATAGTGTGAATATACCCGTTCCCCGCTGGCCGAGGCGGAGCGATGCGAGAGCGCAGGCACCCTCTTGGCTATCTCCTTGAGCGTGAAGAGATGGTACTCGGCCACGCGATGCCACGCGAGCACCTGCCGCGGCACGCCGTCCTCCCAAAAGACGTACCGATGTAGCGATCCTGGACACTCGTCCACCAGCGCTTCAAGCGGCAGGCCGCCCTCGCTCACGTCGCTCTCATGCACGAGAATCACGGGCTTGCTGCGCTCCTGGCCCCTCCTCGCCTCGCGCAGAGAGATGCGCGAGGTGAAGTACCCCCTCGAGAGGAAGAGGAGGAGGACCATCGAGCTGTCGACGTGCCCCTCCACCGCCTCGCTGTCCTCGAGGTCGTCCGCGTCGAGGAACACCACCACGTCGGGCAGCATACGCCGCAGCAACCGCTTGATCGCGGCGGCCTGCTCCCGGGCAGTCTCCCACACGTGACTCAAGTAGACGTGGTGCCGAACGCCATCGACGATCGAGACCTCCGGCGGCGCGTCCGTGGCGCGGAATCGCAGCCGCACGTCGTCCTTACTATGCGCGACGATGCTCCGTACGGTGAAGAAGCAGGTTCCAACCATCAGCAGCGCGACCGCGACGGTGACGAGCACTGCGATGCCGTGGAGCGACTCGAAGACCAGGATGTCCTCGACGTCATTTCTCGCGCCGCGCATGCTGAGGTCCTCGCCGCTGGCGACAGCGACGCCGAGGCGCTGGTGCAAGTACATGTAGGTTGCACCGAGGAGGGCAAGGATCACCACCAGCTGCGAGATGTTCGAAAGTAGCTGCATCCCCCTCGACCGGTACGGCAGCAGCAACATCTGCGCCGTCAGGAAGAGGAGAGAGGCGAGGACGGCGAGGAAGAGGCGGATGAAGGCGTCGTGCTCCGGCACGAGAAAGAGGAAGCCGGTCAGGATTAGCCGCCGGAGCAGGTCGACCCACTCCCACCAGTAGAACTGGGGCCGGTACTCGCGCGTCAACACCGCCGCCGCGCGTGACCAGCGGGTGGGCCTGCGGCGGAGCACCGCGCTGTGGATGGCGTACAGGAGGGCCGCGACGCCGACGAGCGAGCTGATCGGCCAGATGACAATCACGGTCGCGGCAAGGCCGCGGAAGCGGTGGTAGCGCTCCGAAGCGGAGTGGCCGTGGGTGGGGCACTCGACGTCGAGGCTGGCCCACAGGAACTGGCGGGTGCTCTTGTTGCCCACGCCCGTGTAGAAGCGGCGGCAGTGGAACGACTCGAAGGCGGTCGCGTTGACGCTCGGGCAAAGGAGGAGCACGATCCAGAGGGTGGCAGGCAGCAGTTGCAGCAGCGCCTCGCTACTCGCGAGGCGGACCGAGCTGCAGCACGACGAGGCGGGCTCTCTCTCGCCGCGCACGCGGATCATCTGGTGAGAGATTGGCTCGGCGCCCTCCCCGCTGCCTGCAATGAGATGGACTGGCGCGTCCGGCGTCTTGCGCTCCCGCCGCCGGTCCTGGTGGAGTCGGAGGGCGAAGAGGACGCCTCCAGCCAAGACGAGCAGCCCGAGGGGGAGAAAAGCCTTCAGGGCAAGGTAGGTGACGATGCCGTCGGAGAAGCACGCGGTGGGCACCCAGAGCGGGTTGAAGATGTCTGCGTCGAGGACGCCGCCGAGGCCGAGGAGAAAGGAGCGGAAGAAGTCGGGGAGGGCAATTGAATAGAGGTGTCCGATTGGCGCAACCACCTGCACAAAGCCGACGCCGATCTTGAGCGTAGCCTTGAGCTGCTCGCCCATGGAGAGGTATTGCCACTCGCGGCACGCGCGGTCGAGCAGCGCCCGCGCGCGAGGCGAGAAGCGGTGGGCGGCGATGATAAGTGCCACGAAGAGGGCAGGAAGGAGGACGAGGAAGAGGTAGATCATCGCGATGCGCGCGCCGGAGGGGCAATCCTTACACTTGGCCGACCGCCACTCAAAGTACTGGTCGGAGGCCACGCACATCTCGCAGAGCGGGCCGCCGTGCCCCTTTCGGCAGAAATAGGGATCGCCCTCGCCGACATCGGGATTAAGGTCTTGCCACACAGCCCGTCCCAAGCACGGCGTGTCCGACACTGCCCGGCTGCACTCCTTGGTGATGGTCCCGTCTGCCGCCACGCATGCGCCCAGCGAGCGGTGCCCGAGGCACTTTTCAAAGGAGAGCGTCTGCCCTCCCATACGCCACAGGCCCGGCCGGAGCGAGATGTTGCTCAGCGTCGTCGAGCCGTAGGGGCAGTCTGCGTTGTTGGGGCATGGCCAGCACTCCAAGGTGCTTGTATTATGCTGCCGCTGCGGAGGTGGCCCCGTCTCCAGCAGCGGCCCCGTTTCGGTCTTGTACCGGCCGGTGCTGCAGAGGTGGCATCCGTAGAATGGAAACGCAGAGTCGGTGTTTGGTGGGCAGATCTCGCACTGCGGCTGGCCGGCTTGGTCTTGGAACATGCCCGTCATGCACGGGTCGCAGTGGTGCTGGCCAGAGCGCGGCTGCTCCTCCCCCCTAGAGCATGCCACACAGGGACCGTCGCCCACCCCCTCCTTGGCCGACCCCGGCGCACAAGGCACGCACTCGTCAAAGCTCTTGCCGGTCGCGTCGACGACCGTCTCTCGCTGGTGACCCGCGTCGCACGTGCAGGTCGAGTCCGTTGCGTCGATGATGAAGCCCTTGGCGCACCCCACCGTGATGACTGCAGCGCCCTCGCCCGGCGTTGCGTCCGCCCGCGTCTCGCCGGCCACGCCCAAGTAGAGTCGGAGCCACTGCCGGCCCAGCCGCCGCGGATTGACCCTCGCCTCGTACACGCCATCGCCGACGTGCACGACGTCGACAGCGGTCTCGCCGTTCGCCTCATCGAGTAGCGCGGCCGTGAACGCTCGCGGGTCGGGCAGGGGCTGTCTCGATGTCGGCAGCGAGTGCGCCACTGGCAGACCGTCGACGTCACACGCCGTGAAGGAGACCCGCTGCATCTCACCGACCAGGCCGATGCGTTTTGGGGCGGAGACGGCGACGCTGGGCTGGCTGCCGTGCTGGAAGATGGCGCCCCAGGCGGTGCGAGACGCCACCACGGTCGCCATGACCGTGGCGGACACCTCCACTGCTGCGGTCCTGGCAGGTCGTCCCGCCTCTGTCAGTGAGACCGTCATTTGAGCCTTGCATCTGCCGGAGCCGCCGGTCTCGGCGAGACCGCTGGCGGAGAGCTCCATCGGTATGCCGGCCGGGGTGAGGAGGCCCGCCCCTCCGGGCAGCACCACAAATCGAACGTTTGGGTTGAAGCTGGCGTCTACCAAAGCCCAGCTGGCATAGGTTGCTCGGGCTAGGCGCGGCAGGACGCTGATGCTCATGTTCTGGCTGACGGCCCCGCCCTCCTCCTTGAGGAGCTGGACCGAGACCTGGTCGGCACAGCCGCAGCTAATCACCGAACTCTCCTCCCATAGCAGATTGACCACCTCAGAAGGCGACTGCAGCGCGGCTTCAGAACGGTCCACCACCAGAGCGGCGCTCTCGTCCATCCGCCGGCCAACGGCGGCCATCTGCGTCCGAGGGTCTGGCGCCTGCGCCCACGCGCTCGATCGGCTCTGCCACGACGCCGCGCTGACCCGACTCAACGGTAGCCGAGCCGCAAGCAGCAGCAGGAGGGAAGGTGGCGAGGGCATTGCTCAAACTTGTCCCGGAGGACGCGCGAACTTGACGTCGGATTATGAGAGAGGATTCCGAGCTCTCACGCCGCCGGGCCCTTAGCGGCCTAGAGAACACAACCCCCTCTCCCTTCTCTCCCAGTAAGCTCAAAGTACGTACGATTATTGTGCAGTCGTTCTGCGCGACGTAAGTGGGAATGCGGGAATCATCCCGGGTACTTCGGGAGGGAGGGCAGTGACTGGAGGCATGTGTGTGGGTTCAAACGGCGCGGCACAGGCCGAGCGAGCGAGTTCAAAGCGAGGGAGGGAGGGGCACAGGGGGGAGCGCCCCGCCCGCGACGCCGCGAGGCCGAGGGCGAGGGTCCGTCCCGCGTACAGTGGGTTGCGGGCATTAAGAAAACGTGGCATTAAGAAACCCTACCAAGCAATTCCGCAAAAATCTAAGAAACCACGGCGCGCCGCAGGCGCGGCCCCGAGAAAAGGCCAGCCAGACACGAGTGTGAACGGGAGCCCCAGCTGCAGCTCAAAACTTCTCTTCGCCTGCGGCGCGCGCACTTGTGTCACTTTTCAAGTCTGCGGTGTTCTGAGTGGAGTGGTCAGTGGATGGAGGCGTGTGTGCGTCTTCCCGTCATCCAGAGAGCCGACTCGGCGGCAGACTCTGGCATCGCCCTCGCGGACCGCAGCTTTAATACCTCTTACTTACCTACCTAAAAATCCCTCTGGCCGCTGCCGTGCGAGGGCGGTTCCTACTCGGACAGCAGGACGGACTTATCGGAAGCCTCGCAGTGCACGCCCACCGCTCAGGGCTACATCGCCGCCCGGGGCTCCACCGAGCAGACGGCGTGCGGCGAGGGCAGCTTCGCCAGCGGCACGCCCAACGAGGTCTGCGAGCTGTGCGCCGCAGAGGCCGTCCCTAGCTGTGAACAGCAAAACGGGACAGTATAAAACTGCGATCTCAGTGCCCCAGCACGCAAAATTTTCTCTGCGGGGCGGCCGCCCCGCACCCCGTTTGGGATGAATTCACACCTCTCAACAGCTGTTCACACTTGGAAAACTCATCGGATTTGGGCCACTTGCCTAGGCGACCCCGGACCCTTGGCGGACGATCATGACGTCGGCCGGGACCCCCCGTGCCGGGGCCTTCCGAGGCACTTAGCTCCGTGCACTCGACCGCCCTCGCGCCTCGCCGCAGGCAAGCTCATTCACAATCTGCTCTGTGGCGCCACTTTGCTTTGCGCGGTGGCGCGCGCACCCTCGTAGGAACGAACCCAGGTAGGCTATTCGTGCTGACTGCTGAGGACGCACTTTGGACTTTCTTTGCGGCCTCGTGTGTGGCGTTTTTTAGGGACAGCGACCTCCGCTATTGGTGGAGGGCTCGAAAAAACGAAAGAGTTTCTTCTACGTCTCTTTCGCGGCAGAAAGAAAGAAAGAAAACAGACAAACCAAGGGAGGGATGGGAGGACGGCACGCCGCCACCACACAGGGATTTTAATCTTTCGCGGCACTGGAGCCGCAGATAACGAATTGTTCATTTTTTTTCTGGCGGCAAATTCAACACACCTTGGAGGTTAGCGACAGACAGCATGCGGCGCGGGTTCGGACGTGGTGGCTACGGCGGCCGCGGCTACGGCGGCCGCGGCTACGGCGGCCGCGGCTCCGGCGGCGCTAAGAAGAGCACCTACGGCAGCTATGGCGCCTGCTTCAAGTGTGGACAGCCCGGCCACTGGGCGCCGCAGTGCCCATACAACCGTGCGCCCGCGCAACCCGCCAACCGCTCGTCGGGCGCCGCGTCCTCGTCGTATGCCCCCGCGCCCTCGTCGTACACCCCCACTTCCTCGTCCTCCGCGCCCGCTCCCTCGGCCGCACCCGCTTCGACCGCACCCTCGACCGCGATCGTGCCCAAGCCGTGGGTGAGGCTGCCCGCCACTCCGGTCAGCCAGGACTACCTCGACGAGCACGAGGTGTGCTACGGCACGCTCAACGTGCCCATCGTCGGATGCCAGTACTACCAAGGCGTCCTCCACCAAGGCGAGATGGCCAGCCTCGTGCGCGAGCCCAACAACCAGTACGACAAGAACGCCATCCGCGTCGACAACCTGTCGGCCGCGCAGGTCGGCCACGTCAAGCGCACCTACGCCGCCGCGCTCGCGCCGATCATGGACGACCCGTCGCCCGCCGCGCCGCGCGTCGAGGTGACCATCCCGCGCGAGCCGACCAACATGTACGAGGTGCTCGGCGAGCTCAAGATGATCGGGCTCAAGGAGCACGCCGAGGCGGCCGTCGCCGCGCTGCGGGCCGGCGGGCACTTCACGCTCAAGGACGGCTACGCGGCGAAGGCGGCGGCGGCGCAGCAGGCGGCGGCGCAGCTGGCGGCGCAGCAGGCGGCGGCGGCGCAGCAGGCGTGGCAGCAGCAGCTGGCGTGGCAACAGCCGGTGGCGCAGCCGGTGCAGGTGGTCAAGATGGACGCGGCGTCGTGCGAGCGCGAGCTCAACGCGCTCTTCGAGAAGGAGCTCGCGCTGCAGGGCGCCATCTCGACCGACGCGGCGGCGGCGGCGCTCTCCGCGTCGGTGGTGCGCTCGGCGCTGCTGCCGCACCAGCTGCAGGCGCTCGCGTGGATGATGGCGCAGGAGGACGAGGCGACGCCGCCGCCCGCCTCGGTGTACGAGCGGCGGCTCGAGAAGGGGCAGGAGGTGTGGTTCTGCACCGTCACCAACTCGTCCACCGCGGTCAAGCCGCACGGCGCGCGCGGCGGGTTGCTGTGCGACGACATGGGCCTCGGCAAGACGCTGACGACGCTGGCGCTCATCGCCGTCAACCAGCCCGACGGCGTCCGCCTGAGCGGCGCCGCGCCCGCCGCGCCGGCCGCGCCGGCCAAGGAGGAGGAGATGGCGGAGGCGGCGGCGGCGGAGGACGAGGCGGCGGCGGAGGAGGAGGCCGAGGAGGAGGAGCAGGAGGAGTTCGACGAGGAGGAGGAGGTGCGGCAGGCAAAGCGGCTGCGCGTGGGCGAGCTGCGCGAGGCGCTGGCGGCGCACGGGCAGGAGGAGAGCGGCACCAAGCCCGTGCTCGTCGAGCGGCTCGTCAACACCAAGCGCTCCGCCGCCGCCGCCGCCAGGGCGGCCAAGCAGCTCAGCGCCGCCGCCGCCGCCAAGCAAGCCGCGAGCGCCGCCGCCGCCAAGGCCGCGAGCGCCGAGGAGGCTGAGGGGCGGAGCGTCGCGGCCGAGGCGGCGGCGGCGGCGCACGCGGCGGGGTGCGGCGGCACGCTGGTGGTGTGCCCCACCTCCGTGCTCTCCAACTGGGCGACGCAGATGGGCGAGCACGTGCCGGGCGCGCTGCGCGTCGCCACGCACCACGGCGCGGGCAAGGAGAGCGCCGAGGGGCTCGCGGCCGCGCACGTCGTGCTCACGACCTACGGCACGCTCGGAGCCGAGTGGAAGGCGTGGACGGCCGCCAAGGAGGGCGGCGGCGGCAAGAAGCGCAAGCAGGGGGCGCACGGCTCGCTCTTCGACCTGCACTGGCACCGCATCGTCCTCGACGAGGCGCGCGCCGCACGTGCACACGCCCCCGCAGTGAGGCCGAGCTGGAGGCGGCGCGACGCGAGATGGCGCCCACGCATACCGGCCTGCTCGCCAACTGAGCCGCCGCAGGGCCGCGCGAGACAACTAGAAGGCGGCAAACGCGACGCCGCGGCCGCGGCGCACGAGAGCCGCTGGCCGCTGGGACGTCAATCAGACCCAGACCTTCAGCAGACGGCAGACTGAGGGAGGTTGTCATGGTGAGGGTGCGCGGTGCACTGGCGTAGCGGGCTGGGAGACTATCGCTGTCGGAGACGAGGTGTGGAGACAGCACGAACAATATTCGTCAACTGACTCTAATCACTAGGTCGTGTGAAGAACGAGGCTGAGATACGTTGCAGGAGGGTATGTGAGTGACACTCTGTCTCTGACCTGTTCCGACCCTGATCCGACCTCTCTCGAACACCGACCTGATCCGACCGTGTTCACTTCGAACACCATTTGTACAAACAAATAAAAAAAGAGTGACAACATGGCCATCCCCTCACGTCTCTTTCCGACCTACGTTAGGCGGGGCGGTGGGCGTGTCTCGGGCGTGTACGCCCGGTGCGGTGCGCTGTGTGTGTGTGTGTGTGTGTGTGTGTGTGTGTGTGTGTGTGTGTGTGTGTGTGGCCCCGGCGCCCCGGCCGGAGCTAAGAAACCACGGCGTGGGGTGGATGAGGGCTGTGGAAAGGATCTTAGAAACGGCGGCGTGCCGCGGAATCCTGTTTTCTATAATGCCCGCGAGGCAGGGATTTCGGCAACGTTGGAGAGCGGGCGCACGATGTCGTGGGCGACGCCCACCCGCAGCCACGTCGTGGTGACGATGATGGCGAGGAGCATCACGGTGGAGAGGAGCGTCCCGGCGCTGCTTGGGCTCGCTCGAGTTAGCGGTCTTAGCGGTCTTCCGATGCCCTCATAGAAGTCACGCGCCTCCCACCTCGCGCTACCGAACCCGTCAGGATGCGTAGCCTCACTCCACCTCGCCGCTCAGCTCGCATTCGTGCTCAGCACCTTGGTCAGCTCGCCTGCGCCTTCCTCGTTGCCTTCATCGCCCCAGTTCCGCGCCTCTCAGCCAACATGGCCGCCGCTCTTGTCGCCAACGCCGTTCACGGCGAGTGCCGTGCCGACGACTTCCTCGCAGTCGACTCTTCGGCTACGATTCGTCCAACGACACTGCCCTCGTCACCGCCGCTCGCAGCGCTGGCGGCGCCTACTCTGTCACGCTGACACGTCCGATCAAGGCGCCCTCCGAGTTCCGAAGAGCTACCGGCAAGCGATGTCGAGCCCACAGGCCGAGCAGTGGCGCGAGGCGATTGCCAAGGAGCTCGCCGGCCTCGTCGCTCTCAAGACGTGGGACCTCGTTCCTCTTGCCTCCGTGCCTGCTAGCGCCAACGTGATGCATTGCCACTTCGTTTTTGCCATCAAGCGGAAGGCCGACGGGTCCATCGACAAGTTCAAGGCACGCCTCGTCGCCGACGGAAACACGCAGAAGCATGGTGTTGACTTTGACCGCGTCTTCGCCACTGTTGTCAAGGCTCTCACCATCCGGCTCGTTCTCGCCATTGCTGCCGCGCGTGACTACAACCTCAGCTCCCTCGACATTCGCCAGGCGTACCTTCAGGCCGCCCTCGATGAGGATCTCTACATGCGCGCCCCGCCCGGCGTCAACAACCGCGGCGGAGAGCTCGTATGCAAGCTACGCCGCAGCCTCTACGGGCTCAAGCAGGCTGGTCGCGAATGGGCGCAGCTCCTCTCTTCCTTCCTCGTGTCGTGGGGCTTTGTGCGCTCGACCATCGATGTCTGCCTCTACACCTACGAGAAGGACGGCACCGTCCTGTGGGCTCTCGTCGACATTCTCCTCGCCGACAACTGCCCCAACTTACGTGCGCGCTTTGTTGCCGACATCTCGCGACGCTTCCCTACCGAGGACAAGGGCGAGCTCGAGTGGATCCTCAACACCGCGATCACTCGCAACCGCGCTGCTCGTTCTCTGACCTTCCGCTTGTCTCAGGGCCTCTACACCGCCGACCTCGTCGCGAAGTTCGAGTCGTACTTCGATCGCTCGCGCTCGCGCCGCTTCGACTCGCCGATTGAGGAAGGCCTCGAGCTCTCTCCCGCCGATCAGCCCGTTCTCGGCTCCGTCGAGTACGACGAGATGTCCAAGTTTCGCGATGCGTACATGGCCACCATCGTCGGCGGGCTCCTTTGGCTTGCGAATATGACGCGCGTCGACATCGCCTACTCCGCCTCGCAGCTCGCCCGTTTCATGACCAACCCCGGCCCGTCGCACTTTAAGGCTGCGATTCGCGTCCTCGTCTACTTGCGCGACACCGCTGACCGCGCTCTTGTCATGCGCCCTGATCCCGTCCGTGGCCTCGAGAGCTTTGTCGACTCTAGCTGGGCCGCCAAGTTTTCGTGCTCCGGCGGGATGTTCTTCTACTACGGGTGCCTGTTTCATTGGTTCTCCAAGATGCAGCGCTCCGTCACGCTTTCGAGCGCCGAGGCCGAGTTCTTCGGCGCCATGCTCGCCGCCAAGAAAGTTATCTTCATCCGCGAGCTACTGATCGACCTCGGCATCCCTGTCGACGCCCCCAGCGTCATCAAGTGCGACTCCAAGTCCGCCGTCGGCATGGCCTTCGACCCCGTCGCATTCAAGAAGACCAAGCACATCCTGCGCGCCGCCGAGTTCCTCCGTGACCTTGTCGCACGCGAGGTCTCGACGCGAGGTCGTCTCTGTCGAGCACCTCCCCGGCGCTGTGATGCTCGCCGACATCCTCACCAAGGCTGCCTCTCGCGCCGTCTTTGTCGAGCTGATCAAGCAGCTCGACACCTTTGCATGATCACGTCAGTTGCGCTCTAGGGGCTGTTCCCTCGGGCTGTCAGTAGTTAGTCCCCCTTTTCACTGTGTTGTGTCCCTCGCACCCCCGTGCTCTGGCCAGGAGGGGCTGTTCCCGGGGCATAACTCCCCCACAGCGCAGACGTTCACACTTCCACACCCACAGCGCCTCGTCCAAGCAAGACCTGTCTTGTGTGTCCTGGACCTGTCTTGCTTTTCTGCTCGCTTTTATGTCGCTTCGCGCCTTCTTACCACGCTCTCACTCCCCTCGATGCTGGCGTTCGCCGCGCTCCATTGCCTCGCGCGCGCGTCCTCTCTGCCGCCGAAAAAGAAAGAAAGAAAACAGACAAGCCAAACGAGGGATGGGGGAGGAGGACAGGGTCCACACCTGCACGAGCAGGATAAAAGAAAGAAAACAGACAACCCAAGGGAGGGATGGGAGGACGGCACGCCGAGCAGGATTACAATCAGGGCAAGAGCGCGGAGAATTCTTTTTCCGCGCTCTTCGCTGTGTCCCCTCGAAATGTTGTCAGCGGCCGCCCTGCTCACGGTCACGCAGCTCGACGCCTCCGGCGTCGCCTACACGCCAGCCCTGATGTGGGGTCCCGAGGGCCTCGGCTTCGGCCGAGGCGCAAAGCACCTGGACGCGGTGAGCGGCCAGGACCTGGAGGTCGCCGTCGCTGCGCTGCTGGGGCAGCCAGGCAACGAGGGCGCGCCGCTGCTCGCGTCTGAGCCGGCGCGCGGCGCGCGGCTGCCCGAGGTGCAGCTGGTCTTTCTGCTCGAGGGGCTCGGCACGGAGGACGTCCGCCGCGAGGGCGGCCAGCTGCGCCACGTGCAGAGCCTGATGGACAGCGCACCCGCGTCGCTGACTGCGCCCTTCACGACGCGCTCGCCCCGCCGGCCGAGCATCTTCGAGAAGGCGCCGCGGCTGCGCCCAGATGAGGTGGAGGCGCACCTGCGCGCCCACCCCGAGATCCTGACCAACGGCGCCGCCGACCTGCTCCTCGTCGAGCACGCTGCGGCAGACCTGTCTGCGCACGACGAGGCGGTGCACCGCGTCTGCGGGCACGTGGCGGGCGCCACCTCGGGCAACTACGGCGCGCTCGTCACCGGCTCGAAGCTGCCTCTCGAGGCGCCCCGCCGCCGCCTCAGCTCGGGCGAGACGGGCGTCAAGCTGATGATTGAGCGCGACCTCCTGACGGGGCTGCTCGTCTTCGCGCTCCTCTTCACCATCTTCATCTCGGGCTTCTGCTGCCTCTTCTCGCTCCAGACGCCGCGCAAGTTCGAGGACGGCTCCAAGGCGCAGTGAGCCCGCCAGACGCCGCGCGTGCGTGCGCGCTGCGTCTGCTATCCGGCGCCGCCCCCCCTCTACATGCACGGCTCTCTGCGCGGCGAGCCAGGCAGCCAGCCGCACGCCCGCGCCCGCGCGCGTGAGGGCCAGAGACGCGCGGCGCGCGGGGCGCTCGCCGCGACTAGTACTACGGTAAAGGGTCCGGCCAGGGGTCCGGGAGACTCTCTGCACTCTCGGAGGGGGGAGCCGAGCCGCGAGAGCGTGCCGGGTCGCGGGTCCGGGTGGCCTCTCCATCCCACTTTCCTGAAAGCGCAGAATTTGTTTGCCCTGCCCGTTGCGCCGACGTTGATGTGTTTTGTTGTGATTACGAGCAGTCTATCTCCTCTCCGGCCGCACGCCGCCCACGCCATTGCTTTTGCTTTTTTGGAGCCGTGGCACGCGCAGAGAGGCACGTGCTCTGCGGCGGTCTGGCAGCTGGCACGCCCTCTGGGGGGAGGCGGGGCCCCTAGGGGGTACCCATGCGGGGGGGAGATGGGGTCCCATGGCCCGCCGCAGGCGCCGATTTTCCCGCGATTTTTCTTTTTTGCGCGATTTTCTACTTGTTTTCATGAGAATTTCGCGTATTTTGCGACTTTGGTCTTTGCGACCTCGGCTAGTCGCCGACCACACCCACAAAGAACCCTGCACAAAGATCGCAAGGGCGGGGACCTGTTCCTTTTTACCCATCTCACAGTAGAAGTGACCGTTTTAGTTTATTTATTTCTTTGCCATGCTATCACGCCTGCGACAGCCTGTCGGCGCTGCTGACCGTGCCCTGCTGAACAATTGACCACCTGCAAGCTGCATAGCTCGCGGCCTTAGTATCTAGCATTCAGTGACGACCTGATCGTACGGCCAGTAGGAAGGTGTCCTTCTAGCGCGTGCACGCTTCTGACGCAATGCGCGTCACAAACTGCCTCGGATTGGCTGCTGGCACTCTCGAGGCTATGCCTACACAGCCTCGCGCGCATGGGCAGTCAAGAGAGACCATGCACCTTCTCACGACAGCGCCGGTGCTCTCTCTGGGACCGGCAAACGTGGTGGTCTCGTGTTACCAATGTGGGACCAGTGCGGCATCGCGCCATCGACAGCTCTGCGACTGCGCCTCACCACTCCACCGGGAGGCCGCCAAGTGGGTGAGCACCGGTCGCACATCCGGATTGTGGCAGCAGTCAGCAGCGCATGTCTGATAGCTAGAGCAGCAGCGTCAGGGTCGCAGGGTCGCATCGTGTCAAGCCTCTCGCCCGGCCGGCTGCGTGCAGACGTCGGCCTGTCTGCTGTCTGGAGTGATCTGTCGGCGGTCAGTACGACCGATCAGGTCGGAGTTTTCTTTATGGTTGGAGGGTCTATCTGTATGTACTCCTCGAGATCTCTCCAAATCTGCCCTCTACTTAACCGTACTTAATCGGGAAGTCGGTGGTATGGAGCGAGTAATGAGCGCCGGGGCCCCGTTTCCGCATTGCTGCGCGGCGCACGGTGCCTCCGGGGGCCCCCGCCTCCCCCCAGACCGCCAGAGGGCACGCCGCTTGTGGAGTGCACACCGCCCACACGGAGCTGGGGAGCACGGTCTTGGCCAACCCGTCACGGGCTCAACACCCAGGGCCGGGGAGCACACGTGAGCTAAGATGTAAGAAGCGGCACCCAGCGGGCCGGATGCTCGGGGACGGGTTGCGGGCAGGAGAGCCCTAGCCCTGGGGGGGGTGCGCGTTCGCAGGGAAGAGGCCATAAAAAGTAAACACCGGTTTCGCCGAGGGTTAGCGGCTCTGCTTTGGGGTTCCCCAGCGGCGGAATTTTTCCCTCGCGCTTTGGCAAGGAGCGCCCCGAAAGAAAGAAAGAAAGAAAACAGACATCCCAAACGAGGCTCGAGGCACGAGGGATGGGGAGGAGGACAGGGTCCCCACCTGCACGAGCAGGATTTTGAAGGACGATCAGGGGCACAGGTGGGGCTCTCCTGCTCCTGACAAGGGACACGACAGGCTAAAAGAAAGAAAGAAAACGGACAACCCAAGGGAGGCTGAAAGAAAGAAAGAAAGAAAACACACAACCCAAGGGAGGCTAAAAGAAAGAAAGAAAACAGACAACCCAAGGGAGGGATGGGAGGACGGTACGCCGCCACCACACAGGGATTTTAGGGGAGAAGTGTGGTGTTAGCCGTCGCCCACCCTCGGGCGTCTACCACTTCCTATCTCTCTCCGCAGTTTATCACCAATTCTTGCAGCGACCTTCATGCCACCTCGCATTCTTCTCACTCTCGTCGTTCTCTCTCCTGCTGTCTCTTCCCCTGACTCATCGCTCTCCTCGGCCTCGTTCTGAGACGCCGCTGTCGTCTGCCGATCTCTTGCTCTCGCTGCTTCTCTCGCCTTTCTGCGTAACTCCGCTCTCCTCTCCGCGTATTTTGGTCCCTCGAGTTTATCGAGCATTCCTCGCGCAAGGACCACATTTCTGACTCCCACTGCGAGCATATCCCGCCCTGTCATGTCGTTGCTCAGGTCCACTCTCGTTTCGAGCACTTGTACCTCAATGGTCGGTGTTGGCACTGGGGTTCCCTTCGGGTATATTGTGACAGCTGACGGCGGGATTTCCACTTTTGTTTCGTCCTCCTCGGGGTCGTCTTCCCCGGCTTCCTTGCGTTCGGCGTGGCTTACCCTCCATGCCGTGAACAGGCGCTTCGCAGCCGTGCGCGACGCGAAAAATTTCTTTTTCTCGCCTCTGAGATCGATTCCAGGCCATGACGCTGCTCGCCCTCTGCGCGCTTCTGCTTACCGGGGCCGAAGCGTTCAGCGCCCCGGTCGCGCCGCGGGGGCTCTCGCGGACGGCGTCGCCCGCGATGAAGCACAACGAGTACTACGGCCGGCTGGCCAAGGCTGAGGCCGGCCGTATGCGACTGGTTTGCGTCAGGCGCCCGAGCGCCCGCGCCTGCGTGGCTGTGTCCCCATCGTGCGGAGAGAGCGCAGCTGTGAACCGGGCACCACCCCCGCTGCCGCCGCCGCTCGCAGGACCAACAACCACATCTACGCCCAGGTTGTCGACGATTCGCGCGGACACATTATGGCGTCGGCGTCGACCATCGAGAAGGGCAACAAGCTGAGCTACGGAGGCAATGTGGCGGCGGCTGTGGACGTGGGCAAGCGTGTCGCGGAGCGCGCCAAGGAGAAGGGTGTCTCCAAGGTCTACTTTGACCGCCACGGGAAGAAATACCACGGCAGGGTAGCCGCGCTCGCCGACGCAGCGCGCGAGGCGGGCCTCGACTTCTGAGGCGGCTGTAGCATCCCGTTCCCACTCGTTGTCTGCCCCCCTGTATCTGCGCGAGGGTGAGGGCTCCGCGTGCACCACATCGCGCGTCCTGTGTGGATAATCGCGTCGTGTGTGCGGTGCGAGAGTAGACCCGCGTGTTTTTTGCGCATTTCGGGGCCCGCGTCCCGCGACGTCCGACGATTGTCTTGCTCTTGACTCTTGCGATTTACCTCACGCGCAGCCCAGACGGGTCTACTCTACCACATCTAAATATACGCCTACCTCGAGTGCTCCTCGCTACCAACGCGTCGGCGTCGCCGTCGGCTCCCCGTGCCCCGAGCCCCGTGCACAGCGACCCTCAACCCGCCCCCTGGCGCCCTGCAGCCCGGGGCCCGCCCGCCCCTCGGCCCCTCACTGGTCGCTCCCCTGCCTCGTGCCTGCGCCCTGCCGGCGGCGGCGCTGTGCGGGCGCCCGCGCGGGCTGGCGGGTGCGCGGGTGCCCCCCGCGGGGTCCGCCACACGTGACTATCGAGCGCGCGCCGCGCGTCCCGCGACACTCGGAGCTGACAGCGGTGGCCCTAGCTAGAGAAGTACTGGGCGTGCGGTCGCCCTCGCCGGCGGCTAGCTCTCACTGGTGCTCTCCTTGGCCAACTTCGCCTTCTTGCGCTTCTTCTTCGCCCTCTTCGGCTTCGGCGCGGACTCCATGAAGCCCTCGACCAGTGCCTTGAACTGTGCCTGCGACTGCTCGAGCGCGTCTCGCGTCAGCTCCTCGAACCCGATCGAGCCGAGCGAGCGAACGCCGTTGACCAGCGACTCGGCCTGCGACGTGGCGCTCTCGTTGCCACCTTGCCCGACCGCCTCGAGCGCTGCGCTCGCCAAAGCGCGGCTCCGGTCGTACCAGTCGATCGGATCGTCGGTCGCTGCCGCGCCGTCGGCCGCCGCCGCACTGTCTGCCGCCGCCGCGCCGTCGGCCGCCGCCGCGTCGCCCTCGTCGCCGCCCTCGGCGCCGCCCTCGGCGCCGCCCTCGGCGCTGCCCTCGGCGCTGCCCTCGGCGCTCGCCGCACCGCCCGCCGCGAGCTGGCGGAGGGAGGCGAGCGCAGCCTCGAGAGCGGCGGCCTGCGTCGCCCTCCGCGCAGCCTTCTCCTCCGCCTCCGCCTTCTCCCGCTCCGCCTTCTCGCGCCCCTCCTGCTCGAGCTGCTCCGCCCGCTCCGCCGCCTCCGCCGCCTCCCGCTCCGCCTTGCGCCGCGCCCGGTCCTCCGCCTGCACCTTCTCCTGGTGCTCCCACCAGACGCGGTGGTTCTTCACCTTGTCCGCGCCTTTCGTCAGCCGCTTCCACTCGCCCCGCTCCGCCTTTTGGAGGACGAAGCGGACGGTGCCCACCGAGCCAAACGACCAGTTGCTCGCCGCCGCGTCCACCTGCGGAGGGGGACGGTGCGGAGGAGGGGAGGGTGCGGAGGGGCGGAGGGAGGCGCGGGATGGAAGCGGCGGGTGCGGCGCCTCCCCAAACAGCTCGATGTTCAGGGTGTAGACTTTGGGCTTTTGGCGGCCGAGCCCTCGAAAGGTGACGTGGCTCGCATTGATGGAGACCTCCTCGTTGTCGACGTTGAGGACGGTCACAGGCGCGTCGAGCCGCGCCGCGAACTTCACGTTGAGGTGCACGCTGCTCTCGCCTTGCGCCCACTGCACCGCGCACGAGATCGTCGCCTCGTCGAGGCTCGTCTGCCGCAGCAGCGACAGGACGCTGCCCGCGCCGTCTCGGATCTCTGTCAGAGCGCGCCGGCCGTGCGTCGAGATCTGGAAGCTCGGCACGCCCCGCAGCACGCCGACGACACCCCGCGCCGCCTCCCACCAATGTCGCCGCGCCGCGACCAGCAGGCCCTCCTCGAGCGCCGCCGGAGCGGCGTCGCAAGCGCCGCGGTGGCACTCGCCTCGCTCGATGCGCTGCAGGAACGCCAGCGCCTCCGCCTGGCTCGTGCACCCCGCCACGTCGTCGACGCCGACGCCGTCGGCCACGGCCAGCGAGGAAGACGGCGCCGGCTCCGCGCGACCTGCCAGCGCTCCGAGGCAGACTTGCGAGCCGTCCGCCCCTACCAGGCAACCCTCTGCCCCGCCGCTGACGGGACCATCTGGTGACGCCTGTCGCGCCATCCGGTAGGCTCGGATCGCCTCCGCCTCTGCCGCGAGAGACTCGAGCTGCGCCGTGACCCTCGCCAATGCAGACGTGAGGCACAGATCAGCAGCCGCTGGTCGGCCGGCGGCATAGAGTGCCACGCCACGTTGGCGCTGCTCCGTTACCGAGCGACCGTCTGAAGGCCCGCAAGGGACGTTTGTGTCGTCGGCATGGGCCAGATATAGGTGGCACAGGAGCGCGCTCACCATTCGCTCGTATGTGCTGCCGCCGGCGAACGCCACGCCCGCCCTGGGTGTGAGGTTGCCGACTGCACTCCAAGTGCTCCAATGCCACGTCGAGCGTACTCGTGGAAAAAAAATTCGCCGTGGGTGCCAGTGCACGCACGGGACTGGCGCGCACTGGCACTAACACAGGTACACCAAAAATAAAAAAAGGGGAGAAAAGGATTTGAGAAAAAGGGCGACGTGGACCAGGAGGCGAGGGGGGGGGGGGGGGAGAAAGGCCGAATTGGCCGCTTTCGAACAAGAAAGTGCGGCCCGTGTTGCGCCGCGCGAGGCTCACGCGGCGAGGCGCGCGCTCCCCACATGTGCGCCCAAACACCGCTCCGCCCGCCCCCCGGCGGAGCGGTGGCGCGGGTGGCGTCACCTTCGCTACCAGACTCTTCGTTGGTGCCAACTGCGGCTGGGACGGGTGCAGCCAGCTCGGGCGCGTGGCGTCTCGGCTTTGAGGGTGGCGGGACGGACGAGCGCCTGGAGCGGACCGATGAACAGCGGCGGTGAGGGGCTCTCGCGATGAAACAAAAGGAGCGCGCAGCTGGCGGCCATGTCAGAGAAGCAGTCGAGGGCGCCTCGTCATGTCGCGTCGCCGCCAAGCGTCTTTTCGAGCGTGAGCTTGGTGAAGAGGACGGACTCCCCAAAGAAGACGTCGCCCACCAGCTTGCGCGCCCGCGTGTCCATCGCCACCACCCGGTACCCCAGCCGCGCATACAGCCTCAGTGCAACCTCGTTGGTCGACTCGACCTGGATCTGCACGATCCGTTGCCCCTTGCCCGCCGCCGCAGCCTCGCACGCGCGCACGAGCTCCGCCCCGAGCCCGCGCCCGCGCGCCGCCTGCCGCACCGCCAGCGAGGCGACGTATGGCTTGAGCCGGCCGGCGAGCACGGCGGGCGAGCCGGGCGGCAGCGACGCGGAGAGGTACTCCTGCAAGTGGACGGGTGGGCGGCGGTGGGCGGGCGGGTGGGCGGTGGGTGGGTGGCGGCGGGCGGCGGTGGGCGGCGCGTGAGCAGCGCGAGGGGGGAGAGAGCCGCGGCGAGGGGATGGGCGGGGCGGGCTCTCCTGCGTAAACATCTCGACGAAGCCCACGAGGCGGCTTCGCCCGCCGCGCCGCTCCTCTGCGACGAAGAGAGCGGTGCGGCCGTGCCTCCCTCCGATGCCGACGACGTGCTCGAGCTGGACCAGCTGCCTCTGCACCGGGCCGAGCTCGCTACTGAAGACCTCCGCAAGCAGCGCGGAGGCAGCCCAGATGTCGCTGCGCTCGAGGCGGCGGAGGGCGACTGCGGGCGGCGCGGTGGCGGCCGGGGCGCAGAGCACGAGCGGTGCGGAGGCTCGGCGCGCGGGCAGGGCCCCTCCTGAGAGCGACAACGCGCCGAAGGGACGGAGCGAAGTCACCCTTCCGCCGAGCGGTGCACGCGCCCCACATGTCGCGAGGAGGAGTGGAGCGAGGCGGAGCATGCGGGCAGCGAGAGAGGACGGCGGGCAAGCTGAAGGTAGCCGGCGCACGTAGATCGGCGGGCACCTGCGCGCGCGGGAGGATTATGACCCCTCATACGACGGAGTAGCGTTTTCCGGTCAACCCACCGAGGCGGTTCCCTATCTGTTCTTTCCGCTTTGCGGTAATCCTCGGAGCCATACCCACACGCAGACGCGCGGGAGTCGCCGCCCAAGAGGGCCGGCTGTAGGCGGTGTGGTGCTGCCGCACGGCCACGGCTCTGGCTGGCGGCGATCACGTCCCGGCCTTCGTGTTGGAAGTGTGTATCGACCGGTCGGACCATGGTCTCCGTTCCGCGGCCTTCTTATTTCTTCCGCGGGCCAGTGACGGGAAGGGTTCGCCGTGTAGAGCTGGAGCTGTGGGATGGCAGATGGGATACGCAGCAGCTCACTGCGGCGAAGGCCGCTGCGACAGCACGCGCCTCGAAAGAAACAAGATGGCTCGAGCCTCGGAGACCCGTGTTTACTGCCGTTCTCCCATCCCTCCCTTGGGTTGTGTGTTTTCTTTCTTTCTTTTCCGTGTTTACTTTAAGGCCCTTGCCCTGCGAACGCGCACCCCCGGGGCTAGGGCTCTCTAGCCCGTAACCCGATGCCAATCATCCGGCCCGCTGGGTGCGCTTCTGAGCTCCCCGGCCCTGGATGTGCGGTTAATGACTGCACTCCAAGTGCTCCAAGTGCGGCCGCTCCCGTCATCGCCCGGTGGCAAGCGGGCGAGGCGGCGAGGCGCTGTCGCGACGTGGGAGGAAGGCGGTGGCGACGGAGGCGGGCGAGGTGACATCACGCGAGGAAGGCGAGGCGATTGATCACGCGCTCGCGTCGCTGTTGGCGTCACCGGGATCCGGGTGGACGCCGCGCGCCGCGGAGGTAGGGCGCCCACAGGGCCCCCAAAAAGAAAGGAAACCCGAAATGGGCCAACCCCGATCGCAGCACTTCGTGTTCGAGAGTCGAGATATTGAGAGTGTGACTAGGAGGGAGGGACGCTGGGGATTCTCAAAGCACAAAGGTATACCCTTGGAATGGCCCGATCCAGCCTTGATTACGAGATCGCGCGCGCTTCGCGCACAGCACCGCCTGTTCTCCGCGGCTGTGTGACGACGCGTGCCGTGTGCCAGCAGAGTTGGGCGCGCGCGGCGCGACGGCGCCCGCGAGGGAAGGCGCGGGTGCAGCGGCCGCCGGCGGTCGTACCGCTCGCCGGCCAGCGCAGCAGCGGCCAGCGCAGCGGCCGCCGGCGCAGCAGCCAGAGCAGCCGGTGCGCGCCTTGCGAGGCGAGTACTGCCGCCCGGCAGCCTTGAGGCGGCGGCGAGCCGTGCGCGCGCCGAGGCGCGCGCGGCGCCCGCCCGCCCGGCTGCCAGTAGGAGGCGGCGCAATATGGCCTATAGTACAGCCCTTGAGGAGGAGGAAGAGGCTGGCTGGCAGTGCTGTATGCCGCCGAGGGGCAGTTTTGGGTGCTGAGTCACGCCCAGGGGGCTGCAGAAGGCGTCCGCAGCCGGGACAACCCGCCCCCCCAGCCGAGGCCGGTCGAAGCCCACTTGGGCTGACAGCCATGAGCAGTCCTCTTGGTGCTCCTGGCGGCCGTTCAAAGGTCGGGCGCGCCCCGAGGGGGGGGGGGGGGGGGCAACGGAAGAGGCCTCGCTCCTAGAGGCATCAGCTTCGAAAATAAGACTCTCAGCGCGGCGCGCTCTCACGCCTCGCCACGGCCGAATGGGAGGCACTCCAACTCGGGAGATCTGCTATTTGAGTACCCGAGGCTATTTGAGTACCCGAGGTAGGGAGGAGATGGCGCGCGAGGAGCAGCGCGCGCATGTTCGGCAGATGCGCTGGGCAAGGGAGCACGGCCGGGGGGAGCCTGTCCGGTGTGGCGAGTACGACGAGGGCGACGAGCCGACGACGCGGCTTTCGACGCGCTCGCAGTGTGTGTACGCAAAAGTGCGTGTCTTGTCTATACGCGACGGGGCAGCCGCCGGGGTAACGGGTGGGATTCCTCGTCTTCGGGGGGCGGCGCCTTCTTCTAGGCGCCCTTGACCCTGCATACTGCTTACTGGTTGGGTAGTAGTCTAAGTTCTGTTACTCGAGGCTTAGCGGGTCTAGTGTGCACTTGCACGCTTGGGTGCTTACGCGGTCTAAGATCGGCGGCAGCCTCTTATGCGGGCTAAGTCTGCCGTGGCACGGCCTGGGGCCAAGAGGCTCCCACCGTGATCAACGATACGGCGCTAGCCCCTAAATTTACTTCGCCTGCGGCGGGCGCCTACTAATCCAAATCGATCCTTCTCATGCTCAGCAATCGCCGCCTCAGCATCCTCCTCTTCCGATTCTCGTTGCTCTTCTTGAGCGCAATCTTCAAGCCAAACAGTTCTCACAAATAGCCTCAAGCTCAAACAAACGCATGTCACAGAAGCCTGTGTATGCTGGTCCTCTTTGAACGATCCGCGCGTGAGGTAGCATAGGGCCTTGTTGGCAGCAGCCAGCTTGTTGCGCTGATTCGTTGCGATGAGCTGATTGGGATCGCAGAAGTGCATGCCAAGCACCGCCACGATCTTGAAGCAGAACACATCGCAACCGCATCGTCCGCACTGCCATCGGCATGCCGCGCCCGCCGCTTCGCTGCAGCCGCCTTAAGACACGCATAGCGGCAGCACATGGTACGGTGCGCGTACTTGAGCAGGCGTTGCGCGCCGCAAGTAGCGCACTGGCCCTGGGACAAGGCGATATGGCGTCGTGCGCGGCATACGTTGGAAGAACCGTTGGTCGGGACACGTCCAGGTATTTTTCGGGTAAACCTGGACTTTTGCAGGTATGTATGTAACTGTAGAAAGAAGGTTTGGGGCAGAGTGAGTGGGAGAACTTTTCGGCGGTCGTGGAGGTCGTGGAAGTCGTTGAGTGGCGAGTCACGCTCGGGCGGACAGCATCGATGCCATCGCCGGACGCGGCGGCGAGGCACACGGGCGCCGGCGTGGCGCGTCGGCAGGCCCACCACGAGCGGATGCGCGACGAGCGCGCTCGGGAAGCGGCCGCGGGCGACGCGGAGCTTCCGCCGGAGGACGACGCGGTCGAGATGGCGAGCGCCGTCCACGTGCTGGACAGCGTGGCGGAGGTGGGCCCGAACTACACCCTGCTGCGCAGCAAGGAGACGAAGGCGAAGCGGCGGAAGCGAAAGCGCGAGGATGCCAGGGCGGCGCTCGACGGCCACTCTGTCCTGTCCACCGGATCGCGCCTCGAGATCTTCTGCGACAGTGAGCGGTGGTACCCTGCGACTGTCATGGCGCGGGAGGAGGACGGGGACGGACGGATCGTGCACGAGGTCGAGTACGACGGCTAATCGGGTCGGCGGTGGTGGCACATGCTGGACGACGAGCGGTGCACATGCTGGTCTGCAGTGGTGGCACACGCGTGTCTCAACAACAAAATAATGTAGGTAATAGCACGAGCCACTGAGACACGCTCACACTTTGTGTATGCAACTCTTGAGGCAAACTGCGGGTAAATAAATATTTTTGAAGGGATGAACTCTACCCGGAGTTGGCCTTGTGTCGTCTAAGTTCATGGCCCCCGACCATAGTCTAAGTCCGAGCCCGGCTCCGTGCGGGGGCTAAGTTGAGCGCTCGCTCGCTGCAGAGGCTAAGTGTAGAGCGACCCTCTAGCCCTACTACCCAACCATTCCCTGCATAGAGCAGGGTCGGCGCGTTGTGTGCCTAGCTTTTGGGTAGAGCGATTCTAAATCAGGTCTGGCACTGGGCGAACATCGGCCGTCCCTCAGTGCTTCCAGCCTGCCCGCTTGAGTTTCCTCAATTGGCTCGAATTTTGCTTTGTAGAAAAAGAAGAGAGGCTACGGGCGGCCCCCGCCAGCCCCGCTCGAAGCCAGGCAGCCCCGCTCGAAGCCGTGGCGGCGCAGGCTGCCACCGCTGCCCGGGCGCCCCGAGCGGCGGCGGAGGGCCGCCCAGGCCACCACCAGTGCCCCTCCCACCGGCGGCGCGGCGGCAGCGGCGCCGACCGCCCCTCCATGAGCGGTGGCGCGACGGCTGTCGTCAGGGCGCCGGCAGGTGCCGCGCGCAGAGGGTGCCACCGGACCGGCCGACGCGCGCCCGGCGGAGCCTTCGACGTCCACGGCGGGCCGAGCACCCCCGCGTCGCTTCTCGGCGCATTGGAGAGCAGAGGAAGCTGCTGGCGTCGCCGCTGGGGTCGGCGGCGGCGCCAGCAGCGTTCTCGGATCTGAAGCCGACTTTGAGCGCCGATCGATCGATCTGAGGGCTGGCCGATGGGTGGCGCTGGGACATCGCCGCCGCCGCGGAGGCCGGCGGCGACCAGAGGAGCGGTTGGGGCGCGTGGCGCATATGTTACCTGCCAGTGAGCATTCAAGTGTGTTTCGAGATTTATTCGAGATTTGAAACTCAGATGTTCGTTTCCAGTGGGGAGGTGCCAGACCTGAGAATCGCTCGGTAGAAGAAAAAACGCGCGGAAGCTGCGGCGGCCTAGGGCACCACCTCCATGGCGCCCGTCCAGTACTCGCCCGGCTCGAGCTTGACCGGAGTGGCGGCCTGCGCCGACTCGACGCAGACAAAGTTCTTGTACCCCATGCCCTCGTCGCCGTACGGGCTCCAGACCACCGTGTCGCTCCAGCCCACCGAGTTCTTGATGGTGAGGGGCGATGCGTGCGCGCCCTCGAGGACCACGTCGCCAGAGACGCCGGCGTAGACCGAGTCCACCGGCGCGCCGATGCTGATGGTGTCCGACGCGGACTTGACGTCGGCCGGCGGGCTCTGCATCTTGTCCAGGTACGTCGCGCCGGCGAACGCGGGCGCCTTGATCGCAACCTTGTCGATGTCGTCACACGACCAGTACGTGTGCAGCGCGCCGGTGAAGGAGAGGGGCTTGCTGTCGGTGTTGGTGACGCAAAAGTCGGTGGCGAGCCGGTCGTCCTCGAGCGTGACCGAGTACTGCAGCTTGAAGGCGTGCGGCCACATGTCCATCGTGTAGGCGCTCTCGGTCAGCTCCATCACCACCTTGCTGTCCGACTGCTCCACCACCGTCCAGTCGAGGTTGCGAGCAAAGCCGTGCTGCTGGATGGCGCCCGGGCCGAATTGCGGCCTGGTAAGACGCAGGGGTAGGAGTCAGTGAGAGAACAGCCGACTGAGGGAGACTGAGTCGAACGAGCGAAAGTGCGCGCCAGCAAAATGGAATGCCGCCCGAGATCGGCTTGCTCCCGTCGAGCTTTGCGTCTGGCCGCACTGCCAGCACATCTGTTCCGCCTTTGACGTACGAGGTGATGCACGCGCCGAAGGTATAGACCGTGACCGAGTCGCCCGCCGCATTCGAGAGGCTCACCGTCTTCAGAGCCGACTCGACCAACTCGGGTGCGGGAGCGGCGACCATGCGCAGCGACGACGGCGCGATGCTCACGGGTGCACGAACGCCGACGTTGAAGCTGAAGGGAGCTACTAACAGCAAGACCGCCATCGGTACCGAGACTCGAATCACGATGCTCAGAGGTTATTCCGAGTTGCAGTGGAAGCAGTCTATTCACAGTCTAGGCAGTCTAGGCAGTCTGAAGCAGTCTGATGCAGTCTGATGCAGTCTGACGCAGTCTGACGCGTGTCTGGGGCGGGAGATTCTCACAATTACCGTGGCCCCCAAGTGCTCGGTGACCCGCGGGTCTACCTTTCGGCCCCTCGTGGCCTCGTCCCTGCGAACGCGCACCCCCCGGGTTAGAGCTCTCTTGCCCGCAGCCCGATGCCGATCATCCCACATCCGGCCCGCTGGGTGCGCTTCATAGGACATAGCTCGTTAGCTCCCCGGCCCTGGATGTGAGGTTACTTACTGACTGCACACTCAAACCGTCATGACACGACACATTCACACCGTCAGACAGGCAGAGGCGGCGGCACGCGTCGGCGGACCGGCACTCCTCCCCGCTCTCTCAAGGCTGGCACAAACTCGCCCCGCGCCCCTTCGACGGAGCCGTCTTTTCGCGTGCGCATGCCAGCGGGCTTGGCGCGAGGCAGCCGCGCCGGTGTCGCCTCCTCGAGCGGCGGGTTGACGCCCCAGCTCTTGCCCGGTGGACTGGCAGGCGGCGCGTCGGCCCCACTCGCCGAGCTTGCAGGGTCGGCCGCCTCAGTTGAGCCCGCCGCCGGATCCTCGGGCGCCGCCGCGAGCGATTGTGAGGTGCTGCAGAAGAGCTCAAAATCCTTGCGCGACATGCGCTCCGGGATCGCCTGCCGCGGCCCGCCCTCCTTGACGGCGCCGCCGCCGCCCTCGCTCAGTGTCACGCCCTCGGCCAGGCGGATGGTCTCTCCGAGCGGCGGCTGCAGAGAGTGAAGCGGCGTGTAGGTTGCTGGGCCCAACTCGACTCGCGGAGCGCGGGCCGTGCCCGCCTTGCCGCCCGCCTTGCCGCCCGCCTTGCCGCCCGCCTTGCCGCCCGCCTTGCCACCCGCCTTGCCGCCCTCCTTGCCGCGCACCGCCTTGGGCGGCGGCGGCGCCTCCTCCTCGGCTCCTGTGTGCAGCCCGATGCCTGGGTACAGCTTGTACGGCGGGAGTCGCTCCGCATTGATGTGCTCAATCGGGATGACGTTGCCCGCCGCGTCGGTTGTGTACTCCCGCCCCTGCATCGAAGTGCGGAGCTCATCTAGCCGACGAGCGTCCTCCCGCTCGTCTGCCGCCCGCCGCGCCGCAGCCTCTTCTGCAGGCGTCATCAGCTTGTCCGCCGCGGCCGCTGCTGGCGCCGCCGCCGGGACTGCGTCGGCGAAACTGGCGCGCGATCGTGCAATGTGGATTCCGCCCTTGCCCACCTCTAGCTGCGGGCTGTGTGGCGGAGGCGGCGTCTTTGGGCGGCCGCCGCGACGCAGAGCGGCGGCCGACCCGCCCCGCGAGGAGGGGCGTGAGGTGGACAGCACAGGAGTGGCGGCTCGCGGCGCGAGCGGCTTGCGCTCTCGAATGGCGATGGTCCCTCGCGACCATGTGTCCAAGACCGCCGCCCGTGGCTCCTCGTCCGGCCGCCAGGGAGCCACCTCGCCCGGGTCTGGCTCAAGAAAGTAGAGGTCGACCGCCTTTGCAATCTGCAGGGTCGCGTCGAGCACGCCCTGCGTGACGGCAGCCGCGCCGAGCGCGCGGTCGGAGACTGCCTCCATGGCCGCCAGTAGCAGCTCATCAACCAGCTCGAGCGCGACGCATTGCGCATGCGCCTCGTCCGGGGTGGACATTTTGATGTAACGAATGTGGTGCCGACCGCATACACACAAGAGAGAGAGAGAGAGAGCTCTCACGCCGCGCGTAGGCCCTATCGTCCTCCCATCCCTCCCTTGGCTTGTCTGTTTTCTTTCTTTGGGCCCTTAGGGGCCTAGAGAACACAACCCCCTCTCCCTTACCCTTTCCTCCCAGTAAGTAAGCTAAAAGTACAGTACACAAACAAAGGTGAGACCTTGTTATTTATTGAGTGAGAAGAAAATACTCCTTCGCGCTGTGCGCTGGTCTATGAGAGGTTGCCTTGACGTGCGAGCCCTGGGAGCTGGGATGGGGGGAGACTCCCCGCAGGCCTAGATAGAAAGAAGGTCCGCGCGCAGGGGGGTGGGACATCGGTCATTGAGACCAGTCATGAATGAATGAGTGCGCCATCGACAGCTCTGAACTGCGCCTCACCACTGACTGGAAGGTCGCCAAGCAAGTCGCAAGTGGGCCAGCACAGGTCCACATTGTGGCAGTAGTCAGCAGTGCATATCTTTAGGCTGTATGTATGTTTCCTCTCGCACCCTGCCTCGTTTCTTTTCCGTGTTTCTCTACAGCACCCTTTCGTTTCCTCTCTCTCTAGTTTCCGGGGAAACCATCAAATTTTCCGGGCTCTGAGCCGAGCCTGAGGCTGGTTTGGTCCCAAAATAAGCCGAGCCGGCAAATACCGGGGTATTTTGCGGGCAAGCCTGAAACCCCTCGGGTACACCTGGAAAACACCCGGTAATTTTGCCGGTTTCCTCGATTTTGCCTCAGATTTTGCCCCAGACCAGCTCTCAGACTCAGGGAAACTCGAGAGTTGCCAGAATGGAGCACCAAACACCCTCTGGTTTCCCTGGAAATTTCCGGAAACGCAAAGTGCTGGGGACCCTCTGGTTTCCCTCTGGGTTGCCGGAAACTCTCATACAGGCCAAACGCATATCTGATAGCTAGAGCAGCAGCGTCAGGGTCGCAGGGTCGGATCGTGTCAAGCCTCTCGCCTGGCCGGCCGCGTGCAGACGTGTCTGTCTGCTGTCTGAGTAATCTGTCGGCGGTCAGTACGACCGATCACTTTGGAGGTTTCTGACGGTCCCATTGGTGACACGAGACCACCAAGCTTTCCGGTTCCAAGAGAGAGGCACTGGCGCTGTCCTGATAAGGTGCATGCTCCCTCTTGACTGCCCATGCGCGCGAGGCTGTGTAGGCATAGCCTTTTGAGAGTGCCAGCAGCCAAACCGAGGCAGTTTGTGACGCGCATTGCGTCAGAACCACAGAAGCGTGCACCCGCTGGAAGGACACCGATTCCTACTCACTATACTGGCCGCGGTACGATCAGGTCGTCACTGAATGCTGGATACTAAGGCCGCGAGCTATAGCAGCTGCAGGGCACGGTCAGCAGCGCCGACAGGCTGCCGCAAGGCGTGATAGCATGGCCGCAAATACGCCAAATTCCCCATGAAAACAAGTAAAAAAATCCGGGGGGTGTTGGCATATGGCATGTAGTCCCCCATCGGGAGGAACCCCTAGTCTAGCGGAAATTTTTCACAATATCGCAACCGCGATACCGCGCGATATTTGGCGATAAAATGCGATAAACGGCGATGTTGTGCGATGCTCGCGATCACGCGAGCCCTTTCATAGCACGTCACGGCGACGGCGTGAAGCGTTACAAAGAGACGTGCGCCGTGGAGCACATCATCCTGGCGCTTCGCTCGCTCCGCTCGCGTTGCGCAGCTGGATCTGGCTGGCTACACACCTCGCGGCCATAGGACGGTATGCGGCGGTCGCCGCCCACCACCCTTCCCCCCCTAGTATGCCAGCGACCCGTCCCCTGCCCCCTCTCCTAGCCCCTCTCGCCCTTGGCCTTGCTATTCCTCTCCCCCTCCATGCCCTCGTGTAAAACAAGAAACCGATTACGTCACGTATGATCAAGAAACCACACTGGGTGTTTCCGCGAAATTAAGAAACCACGGCGCGCCGCAGGCGCGCCGCGCCGGCTGCGCCGCCAGCTTTAGATTGTCTCCTCCGAAAACAAAGAATTCCGCGGCCGCCGTCCGCCGCCGGGGTGAGGGTGCGCGAGGCTGCGCGAGGGTGCGCGATATTGCGCGATATTAGGCGATATTAGGCGATACTCGGCGATCATTCACGAGATACACCAAAAATTTCCGCTAGACTAGGGGTGGAGGACGACCCCCGGCTAGTCGCCGACCACACCCACAAAGAACCCTGCACAAAGATCGCACGGGGGGACCTGTTCCTTTTTACCCATCTCCCAGTATCGATAAATAAATAAATCGAACAACGGACACCTCTCTACTGTGAGATTTAGCGAGAGCAGAGGTGTCCGTTTTATTTATTTATTTTGCGCGAATACTTTTTAAATCTCTATACTGCGACCGTCTCGGCGGCAGCCGGATCTCGGACGTCGGAGAACGGCGCATCCGTCGTCCATGGCCCACCGTCCTCCATGAGCTCGTCCCACTGGGGGTGGCGCACCGACACGCATTCGTCGCCCACGGCCGCATTCCTCATCACGACGCCCATCGCCCAGTAGGTCTCCTCGGTCTCCTCATCAATGTACTCCACCTCCACCGGGTCGCCCTTTTTGAAGGCGAGGGCGGTCGCGCCCCGCCCGCCGCGAGCTCGCTTCGGAGGCTTCGCCCGTGGCGTGTCGGCGGGCCACTCTCCGTCGGGCGGCAGGCCGGAGGCGCGCTGGTCGGGCGTGCAGCGCGCCAGGTACTCCTTGACCTTCGCGGCTCGGTCGTCGCCGTGCTTGTAATGAATCGGGTGTGGCGTGAAGTGGCACACGACCTGCTTGCGCAGGTCGTGCCGATCGCGCGTCGAGCCGGACCACCTGCGAGGGGCAGCGCGACCCCGCCGTCAGTCCCGCGCCAGTCCGGAAAGAGAGGGAGGGGGGGGGCTGCCGTGGCGCGTCACCCGCAGGCAGTGCACACGTAGTAGGTGCAAAGGTGCGACGACCGGTCGAAGCCCTTGGGCTTGTTCCGCCCGCTTCCCTTGCTCCGTGGCGCAGCGAGCTGGGTGGAGGCGGCGCTTGGGGCAAGGGCGAGGGTGGTGGTCGTACTGGCGGATGCAGGGCCGGCGGAGGCATCGGTCGAGCTGGCCGCAGCGAACTGGGTGGAGGCGGCGCTTGGGGCAAGGGCGAGGGTGGTGGTCGTACTGGCGGATGCAGGGCCGGCGGAGGCATCGGTCGAGCTGGCCGCATCGGCGGGTGCATCGGTGGGAGCAGCGGCGGGTGCAG